GAGGAGTGCCAAAGGAGATGGTGAGCGACTGTGGAACCAATTTTGTTGGAGCCGTCAACGAACTGAAAGAACTGACCAGTGAGCTGGACCAGGAGAAGATTCAGCAAAGCACAGCCAATCGAGGGGTAACATGGAGATTCAACCCGCCCGGGGCACCACATTTTGGTGGCATTCACGAGGCCATGATAAAGTCAGCCAAGAAAGCTATTTACGGAGTTATCGGAACAAGTGACGTAACTGATGAAGAGTTAATTACCGCAGTGACTGGAGTGGAAAGCCTGCTCAATGCACGACCGCTCACCTACCAGTCAGCTAACCCCCAGGACATTGTACCGCTGACTCCTAACCACTTCTTACATGGACAGCTGGGCGGTCAATTTGCACCTGAAACCGTTGACACCACCGAGTTCAGTCCACGCAAACATTGGCGGAAGGTCCAAGAGATAATTTCCCAAGTCTGGAGGAGGTGGCTACAAGAGTACCTTCCTTTGTTAAGCGGAAGGCCAAAGTGGACCGAAGTGATCAAGGATCTCAAGGAGGATGACGTAGTCCTTGTCCTGGATTCTAAACTGCCCAGAGGACGGTGGCCTCTAGGACGCATCATCGAAACTTATCCAGGAAGGGATGGCCACACCAGAGTCGCTAAGATCCAATGTGGCGCAAGCACCGTTGTGAGACCAATCCATAAACTAGTGCCTTTGCACGAAAGTTAGGACACATAATGTAGTGAACATTTCTCGTTGTTATAGTTTTTTTTTTTTTTTTTAATCTTTATTGAACAATCACACTGATGCTTACCTCCCAGTGTGGGGAGGGGGAAATGGACAAAAGACACTTTGAGTCACGCGTCACGCAATTGTACGCGTAGGTTTTGGAGTGATCAGATCTCACTTTTTTGATTGACAGTTACTCTTATTTTGTAATTCGCACGCGGTCAGGTTTTCGAGGTAGTTGTCGGAGTCGTCACTAGAGTCGAGATGAAAATGTAAAACTAAAGAAACCGTGAAATTAAACTGTGAGTTTTCTAAACCGAAATACCGTTTGTTGTCTTCAAAACAGTCGTAATGGCGGCCGTTCAAAAAAAGATTGAGCTTGAACTTTCTTTGGAGAAGAGTACGTTTCCTCGCGATAAATAAGGACATTTGCTGTCAGATGCAATTATTAACCGTGCGATGTACGACTATTAAGTCTAAAAGCCAGTCAAACACGACTATTAATGAGTTTGTACGCGATTAATAGTCGTACTTACCACGATTATTATTCATGATAGTAGACGCTTTCAGACTATTAATAGCTAGAAATGCCATTTGCGATTAATAGTCTTATGTTAAGGACTTTTGAGCCAAATAATCGTAAAATTTGCACTTCGGAAATTAATAAACACCTGTTTACAATGAATTCCCAGCTTTTGTGAATGAAATGGAAAAACGGAAGTTTTTATTCTTGGTGTTTGTCTTGAAATCTTTTTTTTAGAGAAAAGAGGTCAAAAATTAGGGTGCGTATTATACACGGGCGTGTATTATACAGGGGTGCGTATTATACATGGGCACATATTATACACGGGCGCGTATTATACACGGCGCGTATTACACACGGGTAAATACGGTACTTGGCAAAGAAAAGCGACAGTCTAGCAAAAGAAAAATCCACAATGAAACTCCCAGTTAGATCAGTTCAGTTCAAAAACATAACAGCAGAAGAAGACAGCTACAACACCTCAAGGATTTCACCTGCAACGATGAAACCTGCAAGTATAACAGTTTGGTTCAAAACCATAACAGCAGAAGAAGAATTTCAGATTTGACTTAATGCTGCAATCCTGCAAAACACTACCCTAGCTTGTTATATCTGGCCTTAAAACGATGTTTATGCTCTCCCAAATCTTTTCCAGCACATTTATCATCGTCCACTTCTTGACAAATTTCATTTAATAAATGGTCTATTGGTAACCTATTGGAGTAAATTTATAATAAAAAATAAGGATCTTGGAATTCACACCACATCAAATCTACCGTAGAACCTGTAAACAAACAAATGTGCAAACAAGGGAAATGGCATGCTTACATTTACAAGTCAAACAGTGGGCCTCACAAACCTTGAATTGTTCTCATAATTGTACAAGAGTTTAGTACGTCCAATACTTGACTATTGCTCTCCAGTGTGGTCCCACATCTCAAAAAGGACTTAGCTATTTTAGAGAAAAGACAACATAGAGCATGTAGATATTTTTAGGGTCTCTTAAGATCTATGTTTCACATGAAACAAACATCTGAAGAGACAAATGTCATTGACACAAATTGTGGTGGATCCTTGCTGTTGTTCCAGAATAACATCCACCAGGGGGCCAAATTTCCTTTCCGAGATGACATCCTGTGTCGTTTTTCTGTATTGTAAAACAGTTGTTTTGAGAAGGAGAACCTGTGTGATCATACAAAGAACACAGAGACCTTGTTACAGTATTGTGCAAAAGTAATGCAAACGGAATTCGACGAATTTCGTTATTTGTTCAAACGATCTTTCGTCGAAAGTTCGGGCGAAAATTCGATCGAAAGTTCGAGGCCTCTTAAGCGACATTTCGTTTGAACAAAGGGCGCTTTTTCGTTGAATTTTCGCCTCAAAACGAAACTTCGCGGCGGAAAGTATCTCTTCGATCATTAGTGTTCGAAATTTCGCTTCGAACTGACAATAGACTTTCACGAGTAATCAAGTTTGTTTACTACTCATGTAAGCAACACGAAATATACATATAAACGTATTTCCAGTCTTTTTCAGTCACTGGGACGGAGACACTTCATATTTGAGGCAGAGGCTAAACACAGTAGACAAAAGGTCAAAATATCGAAAAGCATCACGTCCGATTCTGGGCTCGATTTGTGTTTGACAACGAAAGTAAATCGGAAATTGTCCCAAGCGTCACATCAACTTCAGTTTCCTGACGTTTGAAGAGGCCTAAACCATCATACCCAATTCAGAGTTCGATCAGTTTACAACAATGAAAGTAAATCGGGATGAATAGCAATTCCGACCAAGAGACATGTATTTCATGGAAATAAACTCTCAAATGATTGCAATAGTTTTTAAAATTAACCTAAGTACAACGCTTTTTAACCAGACGGAGCAGAGAATGTCTTTAGTGTGTTTTCAAACGTTTTCTATTGGGAAGAATGTTCCTTGTTTATTCGTTTTCGATCCCTGCGCAAATAGACATCACCCATATCGCTGATTGCAGCATGCTTTCCAGATATCACAACACCATGTTTGTTCGGAAATATTTATTCTTCACAACAAAACACTGAATACCAATTGGCGACGACTGAAAACAACAATTAGTTTAGTCACATTGCTCTATTTTTTCGTAAATTCTGACACAATAAAAGGAACCAGCGTCGTCTCTAAAATGCTGCAAAACAAATCAGCGTCCATGATGCCATCAAAGATACAAATCTTTGTGGCACCACTTCTGCTAATCCCTCCCCAGACATGCACTTTGAGTGGGTGCTTAGGTTTTGGCTTTCGCTTTGTGGGCTCATTTGCCATTCTAAAGCAAGTGCGGCGATACGCCTAAAGGGAAATCGAACACTCGTCGCTAAAAATCACGTTGTTGAAAGTGTCACCACTTTCTAGGACGCGTTGTGCGAACTCTAATCGCTTGACTTTATTTGCGTCACGGATTAGCTGGCAGTAGGCGGTCCGCTGCAAAGTCCAACCTTGCTGTTTGCGTGCTCTACGAACAGTGGACGCACTCATGCAGATTCCATGTCTCTCCAGCTTCTTCTTTTTCGTATTGCTGGTCGTCTCGTCATCCCTGCGCATTTGCTGATCTACGAAAGTTTTTGCTTCCGTAGACAGCTTTTGAGGTCTTCCTGATCGAGGTAAATTTGCCACGGAACCGGTAAGTCGCAACTTTTTAATGATGCGCGTAATACTGGAAAAGCTCACTAGCAGCCCTTCGTGCTTCAACGCTTTCAGTATTTCAGCTGGGTTGAGGCCTTGCTTGTGAAGGATCTCGATTCTATTTCTAGAATAATTTGAAACTTTTGCCATGATTACTATCAAAAGTAGAGTATATAAATGATCCCAAACGCATCGACACAACAACCTGTGTTGCCATGGTTGCAAACAATATAGGGCGCGCGGAGACTGGAATCGTAGCGGGAAATTTTATGGGAGTATTACATAGTGTAGTAACCAACCTCAAATTCAACCAAATCTTTTTGAGAAGAATGAACAATACAACGAATTTTCGCTCGAAATTTTGAGTCGCATTTACGCCATCAAGGAATTTGTCGCCGAAAGTTCGAGCCGTTCAAAACAATACATGCCTCGAAAATTCGCGGAAATGTCGTCGAAGTTTCGTTTCGGTCAAGAATAGTCCAGTTGGGAGTTATTTAGAATCGCGGCTGACTCTAATTATCGCAGTCGCGCGATAACATGGAATTGAGGCTTATCCTGAATCGGCTAATGTTGCCAAGTTCGTAATGGCAGAAGACCGCGAAAATTCAAGCGAACACTTCACATTGGGAGATATTAATCGACAGGAACTTCAAAAGAAAACTTTATATGAGCTGAAGGAAATTCTGAAACAGTCTGGTCAAAAAGTTAGCGGGAAAAAGAGCGATCTGGTAGAAAGAATTTGTGGCGTCTTGGCGTCGAGCACATGTGACACTCCATCGACTTCAAAGACAGCAGAAGCGCAGTTTTTAGAACTATCTGCTCCACACAAGAGCAAAGACAATGACTTAAGCTATGATACTCTAATTAGAGATGTCAAAGGGAAAAATCTGTGGCAGAAGGACTTGAGAAATTTGCCAGCGTTTGACTTTGTCCGTCTATACGACTACTTGGTCATACAAACAAACAAGTATGATCACATCGCTCTGAAGACTAGTGGCTATAAGAAATTGAAAGCTTTCCAGTTTTTTGCCGAAGGTCATATCAAAGATTTGGAGCTTGCAGAAGTTGGAGGACTTGTCTACATCAAAGGAGAAGTTTTGGCTTCTATGAAGCAAACAAAATACTCAGTCGCAATAGTATTTTCAAACAAAGGCGAAGTACTGAGGGCTGCTTGTAAGTGCCCTGCAGGGTAAGATTATATGATATATTTTCAGTTGCTTATTTTATGAATTGTTTATACCTACTGTACATGTTTACGAGTAGAAATACTAGTGCAAAACTATGCAAACCTCTTTCCATACAGTGATGTATGAATGTGTGAATCCGATTGTAGACGGTAAAATATTGAATCAATGTAATTCAATGAATATAAAGGTCTTTTACCATGTTTATATTATTTTATCGAACCTGTAATTTCATGTCTTGTCTCAAATACCACTTCATTATTTTTATTATAAATGTATTTTTTGACAGGTTAGGTTCTGGTGGCCATGGCCAATGCAACCATGTTGGTGGTATTCTCTTTGCCATCGAAGACTTCAACAGACAGGGACTACAAAATCGCAGTGAACCAGTTACATGTACTTCAAGGCTGTGTGCATGGAATGTGCCAAGAAATAGTAAAGTGGCTGCAAAACCTGTTGATGACATCAACATTGTGAAGTACAGATATGGAAAGGACAACAGAACTTCTGTTAAATCAAGTGTGTATGATCCAAGAGCCCCATGTGATAGAGTGCTCAATAAAGCAAAATTAAACTCTATGCTTGTGAAACTTAGCCAGCACTTACCAAGTAGCTCTCTTTTTCTATTTCATGATATCAAGCCAAGCCTGGACAGTCAAAATGTTATTGTTGACAGTACATGTGAATGTGTACCACTTAATTGTATAGAAATGGTAGAACTTACCTCAGAACATGATGACATGGACTTGCCATTCAATGACGATTATGACATTGCAACAAAGAAATTCAAGTCAATGATTGATATATATGAAGAGAGAATAACTGACAATGATGTTGAAAGAATAGAAAGGTTGTCACGGGGCCAGGACAATACTTTTTGGAGGGAACTAAAACAGGAGAAACTAACTGCGTCAAATTTCAAAGCTGCTGCTAAGAGAAAAGTTGAACCTGATAAACTTTTTAAAGCAAATCATGTACAAAATTGAAGAAACCACTAATGTTTCAGCATTACAGTATGGTCACATGCATGAAGATAATGCTATCAATGATTATATTAAATACAAACACTCCCAAGGAAACACAGGCTTGACAGTTTGGAAAGTTGGGACTTACATATCAAAGATTAGACCAGGATTGGGGGCTAGCTTGGACAGAATGGTTTATGATCCTTTGGCACACTGTAAGAAAGGTGGCCTCGAAATCAAATGTCCATACTCTAAACAAGGTATGACAATTGAAGAGGCTTGTCAAGACAAGAATTTTTGTATGACTTTGAAGCCTGGGATGCCTACATTGAAGATAGGACACCAGTATTACTATCAAGTCCAAGGGCAGATGTATGTTTCATGTTTGCAATGGGTAGATTTTGTTGTATGATTTGGAGCAGACAACCTCTACATACAAAGGATAGTATTTGACAAACAGTGGTGGCACAAGGAAGCTCTACCAAAGCTGGATTACTTTCTATCGTCGGGCATTTTACCCGAAGTTCTGACAAGAAGGGTTAAAGAGGGGTCCGTCTTTATAACCATGGAGGGTGGCAGCCTTACACGACAAGAAGTTCTTAGTCTTCTTCATTTTATATTAACTAAGAATGAATAGGTACTGTGGGTTCCTAGATACTTTCCCTGCACCAGGACAGACATTTTGTATGCAACAAAAAGGAATAGACATAGATCATAAGTTATGTCAAAGCCATATACCAAGAATCCACAAGTGGCATAGGTTTGTTATTAGTTTGTACTTTGTAGTTTTTGCTTAATGGCAAGTTCAAGTGCCTCTACCATAAAAACTGAGAGTAAAAGTAAAATATTAATAGCTTAGCATGCTTTTTGTTTGAGTTTACTTCTTGAATCAATTCTACTGTTGTGTTAGAATATTAAGTTATTGGAGTGTATCAGACATGCTTGTGATATAACCTTTCAAACTATTATTGGACAGATGGATTTTCATAATCAGGGGGACATTCCATTTTACAGTTCCATTGACAGCAACTTCAGCCTCAGTATTATGTAATATATTCTTTATCACAGTTCATGGTATGTAAAAATGTACACAACTACAATATTGCATTAACCAAGAGAATTTTAAAAAACTATTTCTTTTATGCTGGAGTTAGTTAACACAACTTCAAATTGGAATATTATTAACTGCAAAGTAGTAGTAACAGTATCATTGTAAATGTTATTGCCTCACATGTTTATTATTTCAGTATTCAGTTGTCATTGATGACATCATTTAATTCAATTAATCATTTGCATAAGCATATATTGTATATTTTTGACAGTAGATGTAAATCAACTTCACATTTGAGGCTCAAGAAGAGGAGTTAAAACGTTAGTAAGATAAGCACATACAAAAAATATTTGATCGGCTACGTGTGCTAAACTCAAAGGTAAAGTACCTTCTAGAATATGATAGTTCTTTATGCGACCAATAGCACGCTCAACATGTATCCTCACTGATGCAATGCGGGCTGTTTCCTGGACTTCATCAGCTGTCAGCTGGTCTCTGATGCCCTTAAAAGGTGGGATATTCAGGTGACAGCCTGGTGGCAAAATACCACCAATATAAAATCCTCTGTCAGCCATTACATTGTCCCCAGGTTCTAATAAGTGCATCACTCCTGATTGTTGTGTGATTTCCTTGTCAGAAACACTGTCACTTGACCATTTGGTGATATTCCTACTAATACTTTGAAAGTGTTATGATGCTTGTAGTTGGACCATGTCTGTGACTGTGCAAGCATTGAAGATGGAACTTCAACATAAAGCTCAGTGCAATCAAGAATGATACGAGTAGTTGGATACAATCTAAACTGATCAGGCATGTTCTTCCTTACAAGATACTGTGAAGGAAAGGGAAATACCAACTGCAATTCTAGCTTTAGAAAGTTCACCCAGGTACAAAATATTCTGGAAAATTGTCCAGGAGATATTCCAAACCTACTTGCAATATCCTTAACAAAGAGACCAACTTTCAATCTTACCAAAACCATAAAAAATTCAGTAAGTGGTGAAAGTTTTCGCTTTGGCCCAGGCTTTCTTCTTCCCTCTTCTTGATATGCATATGAATCTGGTGCATTGCATTTATTCCAGTATTGCAGCTTTGCAAGTTTTTCTTTGAAATATTCATAAAATCCTATTAAAGTCTCATAGCTTGGAAAGCCAGTGTAAAATGTAATTGCATCATTGTCATCTTTAAAATTATCCAGTTTAAATTCACGATCTTTGTACTCCTCTAGTTCTTGTTGTAGGTTGCCAACTTTCTTTTGTAGATTATCAACCATCTCAGTCTGTACTTGTAACCTTTCTTCCATAGTCAATATGTACTCAGTGCTGTTGTTTGGTGACTTATTCAGTTCAAATGCATAGTTATGGTCATGAGAAATAGGTGCACAGTTGGACAGCAGAGGCCATGAGATATCAGTTTGGGTTGACACATCACACAAAAAAAAAATATGAAATCAAAATTAAACTGGTTTCAACCTATTTACACAAACTAGCTTTTTCATGTGATAACGTAGGTTGTTTGCCATGTACATTAAAGAACATTGCAGCACAAAGATGCAAGCTTTATGGTTATTTTAGGACAACTTTCTAAGGTTTATGCATAATTAACTATGGTTAATTAATTATGGTTTATGTTACCATAAGTGAAGGCAAGCATTCTGAATGAATTGCTTCAACATGAAACACTTCCTGGTCCTCCGGTTCATTCGAATTCTGAAAGGTTTCGTAGCCCATATTTACAGTCGTATTACATGTTGATGTGGTGGTTGTTGGTTCGGTTGTTGTCCCTTTTGAAGTTGTGGTGGTTGTTGGTTCGGTTGTTGTCACTTTTGAAGTTGTGGTGTCTGTCGAATTGACTGACATTGGGATTTGTAGTTTTGGTGACGCTCTTTTCTGTTTACAGATACCAGACGTCCACCGAAATATCGATGGTTCAGCTCCTGAAATGAATATATTTTATCAGTTCATTGTGTTTATAATTTGAGAATGGACTCGTTTACGTAAAGCAGCTACAACTTAGCTGAATCAACTTATATAAACTCTTACCATCACGTAATCTACTTCTACTTCCTCCTGGACGTTTGAAGATGTCACTAGCAGGAAAATGCTGTTCGCAAATAACAGTATTTGAAGTAACTACGAACCCATCTCGACCGTTGTGTCTCTTGATAAGGTTGCACCATCGCTGTATTAATGAACGCTTTTTCGGGAAGTGAAAAAATCGCAAGCCAGACGATTTTCCAGTGCGTAAATATTCTGTATTCGTACATTCAGAGGCCGCACACTCCTTTCCTCGTCTCGCTTGCTTCTTTCTAGTAGTTTTGTGCTCCATTTTCGATTATATTAGCGATTGTGTGGTGAACAGACGAGATGCGACTCAGGATAAGCCTCACTTTCGTGCACCAGCGTGAGCCTTCACGGTCTTAGTCAGCGGATGTTCCGAGTGACCCTAAAAGGGACTATTCGTCGAAAAGCCAGGAATTTCGCCGAATTTCGTCGACAGGTGTTTGCATTACTTTTGCACAATACTGTATGTGAAAGCTTGCGCATGTTAAACTGTATTTTCGTGATTTATTATGTTAACTCATTTCAGAAGTTTTTCTGCACAGCCCCATTTATTAATTACTTATTCATCTCGCCTCTTCCCTTTGTGTGTTTATTAAATTTCATGCTTTAGATGTATTCTACACCTATATTGTACTTTATTTTTCATTACATTGTTTACTCTTCAAGTACCGAAAAATTCCGGGCTTATATATTTCAGAGGACCTTTTTGAGGGGCTTATTTTTGGAAGGGACTTATATTCAGAGGGGCTTATTATAGGAGGGAATTTACATTTCAAAATTGGCTCGGCTTATAATTAGAGGGAAATTTGCGTCACAATTGTGCAACTGGTAATATTAGGGTTTTGACTAGAAATTCGTAACAAACTAATCACACTGAAAATGCCAAGTTCAAACACCACAGCAATAAACTTTATTAGAACAGAAATACAGTAAAAACCATAATGTAGTTCAGGCTCAAAGTTCATGAAGACTATCAAAGCTCATATTGCGCGAGGAGCACCAGAGGGAGCTTGCATTCAGGGTAGTGGGATTGAACTTCCTTGCAAATACTTTGTCTATGGACCGAAGGAATTCTAGGTGAGAGTGAAGAGCAAACTGCATGAAAGACAATAACCTTCAACACTTGTTGACCACATTGCTTTAGTGCACGGAATCATTCTTTTATGACTAAAAAAGACTACCTGATAATGGTGATTACGTGTAGTTCGCTTTGGTTTGTATTATTGAGGATAATTTCCAAATACAAGCCCCAGGGGCTTATATTCGGAGGGGCTTCTTGTAGGAGGTATTTTTGCGTTTCAAATTTTGAAAGGGCTTATTTTTGGAATTTTACGGTATATAAAACAATTGCTACATCTGACCCTTCAGGTACATCAACAAAGTCCTTTAATGGAGCAGGGGCTCTGGCCTAATGTGAAAGAAATAATTTCACAGTGATTGAGTTCAATTTTGACAAAAATGATGGGGAAGGTGATTCTAATGAAGACAAACTGCCCAGCCTAGATAAAGATGAAAGCAAGTGTTCCTCACAGTCTCGCACAGAGGGCAAAAACACTTTTTTTCATCGCAATGGCAACACCAAATATCTTCCAACTACTCAGAAGGATCACAACAAACTATACAAGGTACAACCAATTGTCAACTCTTTGGTGGAAAAAATGCTAGAAGGTACCCTAAGAGGAGTACCACTTTGTGGATGAGCAAGCTTATTGATCACACAAGAAAGCACATAGAAAAGTCTTTGTCTCCGGCTCAGCCTCACCAGCTGCTGATGAACCCAGCAAAAGAGGATGTAATTATGAAAAAGGAAATGCTGAAACCTTTTGAAAGATCCACCAAGACAATGGAGGATTTAATCTCCAAGATGACCAATTGCTTAACATCACTTGGAGATGGAATTCAAACTAGGATGAGGTTTGTTGCAAATGCCCTAGCTGGTAACCACTCATGTGCTGCTGTAACTCATCACACTTGTTACCCCACACAGTTTGACTGGTATAGTGGTGGTGGCATGGTATCTCCAACTTCTTACAATAATATAAGTTCCCAGTATGTTCCACTTAATAGAAGGGCCTCTCAACAGTTGAATAGAATTGGAAGTGGGCAAGCACAGCCACCCAGTGCTGGACCAGGGCCCATTCTGACTTTTGCGCAGGCGCCGATTATGGCAACCACAAATCTTTTCGCTCCTGCATTCTTCAGCCAATTGATTCTCTTATTTACTTTAACTTTACGTCCTTGTGTTGGAAATGGTGATGAGACTCGCTTGTCAGTGATGGCTGCGGGTTTTGGTGTGCCAATACCACTTACTCGTCGCTTGCTTTCAGTCGGTTTTGCAAGATCAAGATTCCCGGTATCCAAATCTAGTAAGCATGGGTTAACGTGGCTACTAATCCCTGGCCACGACCCACCAGTGGACATTACAATATTTATTGACGTTCTGAAAAATCCTGGCCCTTATGCTTCAACCTGTTCGAGGCTAAGTTGCAGCGATTTATCGAGCGATTTATCAAGAAACCATGCCTCAAACAGAAATTTACATATTCGCCAGATTCAAGTTTCACTACAATACTCTAGGGAC